ATCTTACAGCTAATGAAAATTAATAATGAAAATGTGAAAGTTTTTTCAGATGTCATCGTTATCTCATTGATAAATATCCTATTTCTTTGTGCGATATGCAGCTGTATGTGTTTGATGCTTGTTAGTTTGGTTTTTTTGGGGTTTTTTTTTTTTTGTTTGTTTGTTTTTTTTTTTTTTTTTTTTTTGTTTGTTTTTTTTTTTTTTTGTTTTTTTGTTTCCGTTGTTGTATTTCTTGTTGTCATTTGCGAAAATTGACATTACTTACTTTGATTGATCAAGGTTTATATAGTGGTGTCGCCATTGAAACAGAAAACGCTTTCGGAGAACATGGTGTTATTGTCCGTGAAATGTTTTCACGAGTCTCTGTGTTAATCTTCATATTCTTCATATTCTTTTGGTATTTTCTTTGATTTTTTATTCAGCAAGAACATGTTCATATTCGAATTTAAAACTTTAAACGTTATGGATATGATTAGTGTACCTATGTATTTAATTTTGTAATATTCAACACCACATAAGTGTGTACCTTGTGTTCTTTTTTATGCGAATTGCATGTTTTAGTACCTCGTCCATTCCACTGTATAACTTGAATAATATCATGTTAAACTGGAAACTTGTTATCTTATATTTTGTCTACCAATTTGAGAAGGAATCAGTGGACTATTTACCGTAAAATGAGTTTATCAAACGCGACTAATAAACCGTCATCTCTAGTCTTTTTTCTTCATGATTGACAGAAATTAAATTAGATTATAACTAATAATTTGAATTATTTTCGCATTAATGAGAATTTTCAATCATAACTATCCTCCGTGTTGCAATATACATGTACCTTTCTGCTCGAAAATTTTCCCTTAATATCTTTGTATTTAATAAATATGACAGATTTGACGATGTTGAATTTCTGCTCGCCCACGATGAGTTTATCTCAGTACATCATTGTTTTAGGAGACATGTGATAATTGGGTACTAGACATATACGACGAATTGGTTTTATTAAGAGGTTCGGGAAATTTATTGGCCAAGAACTGTTTTTGTAAACGTGGATGCAATACTTATACAATCATTTACAAGTGGAAATACCAAACATGAATAAAGTAATATATGTTTTACCTAACATCATTTCCGGAAGGTATATAAATGTTTTAGGGCTATTAATCGCATTTGATTATCTGCACTTTTATTACGATATGTGCATAGTCTATACTGGAATGCAATAAATTTTCGCTGTGTTAACAGTTATACTTTTAAAGTCCTTCTTTTGCCACAATTTTGAAACGCTTTTACTTTTTTCTCACAGCTCAATAATCTTCAATCAACGATTCATCATGAAGTTGGCTATTTTTTCCCGTGGTTATCCTACCTCTGGCAAACAGTATTTGTAAGTTCATAATTATATACTTTATATAAATGGGTTATTTTTCTTGCCTCCCCAGTTCTTAGTTGACTCTTTTTGTGTTAGCCTTCATGATTTGTCCTCTTAATGCAGTAACTATGGCATATATATTATTGTATTTTCAATTTTAAATCACAATAATGAAATAAACTTCATAACACTTGCTCTTGCGAGAAGAGATTCCGTCCAAAAGTATTGATTAACAATTGTTACAAGAAACTGAAAAGAAAAAAGAAAAACAAAGAGGACAAATCGTTAGATGGGAATTGGATTTAAATGTATTACTATTAAATGAATCAGTCACTCCTCTTGCTAAAATACTGTTTTTGGGTTTCTCAGGAAGCCGGGAAACGGACTGGAGTGTGCAATATTGCACTCCTCTTGCTAATACACTATATAGTATCAATGCTTCAATATCTAAATTTCTACATATACTGATAAATTAGGATATCATTGAGTGGAGCGTTGTGTGTGCCATAGCTTTTGTTCTTGAGAGAAACACTACCGTTATTGATTTGAATGACATACAGCTGGCCTTATGTTAAAACAAAATCATTTCTGTCTGAAGGACATGCATATATATGTGCAATAATCACCATACATTTTGTCCTCTCTTCTAGTGAACGTTTTCCACGCTGATGAGCTCAAACTTCTGGTCACAGATTTAGTACAACAGCTCGGTTCCAACGAGAGGGAGGCAGAATGTGAGAAGGAATGTAACACGCTTGTTGACACACAATTGTCTACTGGATCTATCAACACCATTTCTCACAGCGCTTGTCCTGTTGCCTGTCATTCGTAAGTATTCAGTAAGATTTTACAATCTCAAAACGTAAATTTGCTTTCTTCTTAGGAACATCAAGGATACCAAAAGTTATCTATTTCTTTTGTAAACTTGATATCAACGACCTAAATGTAACAAACCTAAAGGCACAGTTCACCGCTGGAGTTGTGGATACCCTTTCTGATCTTATATTGTAATTTTATATCAATATTTGACTATTTATTGATAATTCTGTAAATTTTGGTGATCGCAATTGTACATTAAACAGCATTAAACTGTATTTGTCTCATAAAGGATGTAACTGTCATTTTGCTCTTGAGCGTTTTCAAACAAAACAATTGATGAATAACTTATGATCGAGACTCATTATGAAACAGAAGGGAACTTTTAAAGAAGTTAGGAACTCCAGTCATTCAAGTCATTAATGCAAATTAACTAAACAGAAAGAATTTATACTTTTTGACTTACAATTTGTCTTATCTTATGATATTCTATTTACCGTTTTACAGGTTACAGGAGTTAGTCCACTATTTTAAAATTCCTGTACCTTCGACAACAACTTCACCAGTTCTCTAAAGGAACTTTCTTTGCAAACCTTAACCGTAACGGAATGACTAGGTAGATGAACAGATAATGTTAACGAAGTTTCCATTTTGTCATTTATATTTGTGCGTTGTACGACATTTAACGACATATAACAAAATATTGATAAACAAACAATGATTGTATCATATATGTCGGAATATATTTGGGTTTTTTAAAAAACATTTCTCAGTAATGTTAGAGTAGAAAAGAAATTATATATATATATATATATTTATATATATGTGTGTCTTTGTACATTATTTAATGCTTTCAGAAGGTTTGATTATGTACCTGTGTCACTAAAACATGGCTTGATTTGCACGTTATATATAGGTCATAATAAGCCAAGAATAACCCAAATAGCTACAGAGCGATTTCTCTCCTACCCGTTATTCTAAAAGTGTATGAAAAAACTTGATAAGATTAGAGTCTATAAACCTTTTTCATGTAAATTCATTACAGCATGTTTTCAAAAACAAGCTAGTATCTCTATGACTTCATACATTGTGCAATAAACAATCGCGTACGCTTCTGAACATGATAGAAAATTGTTCACTTGTTTTCAGACGCGTCTAAAGCCTTTGATTGTGTCTGGCTCGACGGTCTGTTTTTTAAACTTCACGTTTGGCTTTTGACAGATAAATTGTTAGTATGATTATGTCTTTACACAAGGATATGTATAGTGTTGTTATGCATCAAAATCTTGTGTCCAAAGTGTTCGAGATAAGCCAGGGAACACGTCAGGACAGTATTATCTACCCTTGGCTCTACTCTGTTGATATCAACGATTTCCTGACTGATCTTACTAGTTCTGTATACTCGCTAGCTATATCTGATGTAAATGTCAAGTGACCTACGCAAGCAGATGATATCTGTCTTCTTTCACTTACCAAACACAAACAAGATATGCTTATAGATATTTGCTAAAAGTATAGCTGTAAATGAAGATTGAAATATAATGCCTCCAAATCAATAGTTATTTGTCCTCAATGAAAGTAGTAATGTTCGCTCACGATCATATCGTATTTGGTATCTGGGTGACAATGTTGTTCATGAAAGCACAAATGTTAAACACGTAAGTATTAATTTGGATAAATTTAAATCAGGTCCGCCTGATGTCGACGATGTTATCCACAAACTGCGAAGTCAGTATTTTGCTCTACTGAATTGTTATTTATTTGGTCCCAGTATCAATCCCTTGACTGGAGTCCATATATATTTGTCTGTTGTACTCCCTAGAGGTATGTTTGGTCGTGATCTCTTGAACTCTCTCTCTCCAACTCTGTTGGCATCGCCTAGAATCAGTTAATTTATGTGCAAAATAAATGCAACTTGTACTTCAAGCAACTCTTTTTGTTGCGTTTACACCAAAAACATCTTGGGAGCAAATAACGCTAAGAAAGGTTTCATCAACATTTGGGATGCTTTACACAAATACAACTTCCGAGATCTCTTACTTGATTTTCTAAATGCTGGCAAATTTCCATCTAAGCTTAGCAGGAAACATCTTGTAAAGAATGTCCTTCTCTGTAAAGAATCTGATGACTGGCATTTACGTTCGTTCGAATATCATAGAATCAAAATTCTTTATCCTGAAATGGTTCCTGATGTAATTTGGTCATTTTCTAAACGCCATCCAAAGTTTTGCAGGACATGTATAACTGTGGCAAAAATGTGGATTCTCCCTCCTACGTTTGAAGTTTGATGTGCTCGATGTAAAGGCACTTTTGAAGACGTAGTCGCCCATTGTTTACTTGACTGCAAAGATCCCATATTAAAGTCTCTGCGAGATACTAGTTTACTAGTTTTGTGGACAAATATCCAGTTAATGTGTAGGTATCATATGACCAAGTGGACAGAGATGTCAAGACAGCGACTCTATGAGGTGTTCCCAGTGAGGACATTTATTAATCATTTTATGACGATTCATCTTTGTTTTATTAAGAAATGTCTCGAATATGACTTTTCAGTAAAGGCCGTCTCATATATAATGTTTGATGTGTTCTGCTAGAAATTCCCATTATTGATGGAATTAAAGAAATGATGATGATGATGATGATGATGATGATGATGATGATGATGATGATGGTAGAACATCTTTGTATTCTGAATAGTGCAACTACATGTATGTGAGTGAATAAACACCTAAATAACAAACACAAAATACAAAACTATTTCGTTTTTATTAGGATGACAAATGTTTTATATTCGTCTCAGATTTCTAGGACCCCTATTTTAAGCAGCAGTAGCTGGTGGAGATGTCGGGATATTGAAAAAGTGGATGAGTTCCTGTAGCCTGTGAACGAAATAACGGACATATTATTAGGCAAAATTTAGCCCTAAACTGAACACATAAACATATGCGGTTGTTTAATGGGTTGATACATTTATCTAAACTTTCAATGTCTTTCTATTGCATTACCTAGGAAAATGAAATATGCCTAGTCAACGTTAGCTGCGATTGACTCCCTAGCGACCAGGCTTTTATGCTTGGATTAAGATGACCAAAAATTTCTTTAAAAGGAAAAGAGAGCCAAAAAAAATGAAAAAGAGATTACTAATTGTATAACAACACAGATACTGATAGATTAACTCTTTTATTGTTTTAGCAATCGTTATTCCGACCAATGCATGAACATCGCAAATCAATTCTGGTGAAACATAAGAGACTGAGACTGGGTCCAATGACTCTTTAACCAATGAAACAGATCAGCTAAAGCCTTAGACAAACGTATCAGTAATTATCTAATTACAAATCAATTATAAAACATCTGCTGGTTGGACATTATAAGGACAGAGTCTATACTGCGATCAAATCATAACACATCAGTGTAATGACACTGTAGTATTGTTATATTTTCGAGGATATCATTAATATCAAGTTTACAAAGGGAAAATAGATAACATTTGGTATCCTTGGTGTTCCTAAGAAGAAAGCAAATTTACGTTTTGAGATTGTAAAATCTTACTGAATACTTACGAATGACAGGCAACAGGACAAGCGCTGTGAGAAATGGTGTTGATAGATCCAGTAGACAATTGTGTGTCAACAAGCGTGTTACATTCCTTCTCACATTCTGCTTCCCTCTCGTTGGAACCGAGCTGTTGTACTAAATCTGTGACCAGGAGTTTGAGCTCATCAGCGTGGAAAACGTTCACTAGAAGAGAGGACAAAATGTATGGTGATTATTGCACATATATATGCATGTCCTTCAGACAGAAATGATTTTGTTTTAACATAAGGCCAGCTGTATGTCATTCAACCCAATAACGGTAGTGTTTCTCTCAAGAACATAACTATGACACACACAACGCTCCACTCAGTGATATCATAGTTTATCAGTATATGTAGAAATTTAAATATTGAAGCATTGATACCATATAGTGTATTAGCAAGAGGAGTGCAATATTGCACACTCCAGTCCGTTTCCCGGCTTCCTGGGAAACCCAAAAACATAATTTTAGCAAGAGGAGTGCACTGATTCATTTAATAGTATTACATTTAAATCCAATTCCTTTATAACGATTCGTCCTCTATTTATTTTTCAGTTTCTTGTAACAATAGTTTATCAATACTTCTGGACGGAATCTCTTCTCGCAAGAGCAAGTGTAACGACGTATATTTCAATAATATGATTTATAATTGAAAATACAATAATACATATGCCATAATTTCTGCATTAAGAGGACAAATCATAAAGATCAACTAAGAACTGGGGAGATAAGAAAAAAAAACATTTATATAAACTATGTAATTATGAACTTACAAATACTGTTCAGAAATGGGTTTAATGCCTTTTTCTGGGGAGCTGACATTGCCAGAGGTAGGATAACCACGAAAAAAAGAGCCAACTTCATGATGAATCGTTGATTGAAGACTATTGAGCTGTGATAAAAAAAAGTAAAGGCGTTTCAAAATTGTGGCAAAAGAAGGACTTTAAAAGTATAACTGTTAATAAAGCGAAACTTTATTGCATTCCAGTATAGACTATGCACATAATACAAGGGCAGATAATCAAATGTGATGAATAGCCCTAAAATATTTATGTACCTTCCGGAAATGATATTAGGTAAAACATTAGCTTTCCCTATTAGGCAGACTTATTTCGAAGCGGAAATACTTTCTTCACTACCGGACAATCACAAAGAAATATGAAAGATTCCCGACTTGTTCGATGTTGCTTTATTCATCTTGTTATTTCTACTTGTAAAGGATTGTATAATTATTGCATCCACGTTTACAAAAACAGTTCTTGGCCAATAGGTTTCCCGAACCTTTTAATAAAACCAAATCGTGGTAAATATGTAGTACCCAATTATCACATGTCACCTACTGAGATAAACTCTTCATGGGCAAGCAGGAATTCATCATTGTCAAGTCTGTCATATTTATTAAATACAAAGATATCAAGGGAGGCTTTTTCGAGCAGAAAAGTACATGTATATTGGAGGACAGTTATGTTTGAAAAATCTCATTATTGCGAAAATTATTCGAATTATTAGTTATAATCTAATTTGATTTCTGTCAATTATGTAGAAAAAAGACTAGAGATGACGATTTATTAGTCGCGTTTGATAAACTCATTTTACGATATATAGTCCACTGATTCCTTCTCAAATTGGTAGACAAAATATACAAGTTTCCCTTTAAACATGATATTATTCAAATTATACAGTGAAGCGGACGAGGTACTTAAACATGCAATCCGCATAAATAAGAACATAAGGTATACAAATACGTGGTGTTGAATATTACAAAATTAAATACAAAGGTACACTGATAATATCCATAACGTTTAAAGTTTTTATTTGAATATGAATATGTTCTTGCTGAATAAAAAACCCAAGAAAATACCAAAATGTTAACATAATCATAATTTTATTTCAAATTCCATAAACTGTAATGCAGAATATGAGCAATATGAAAATTAACACGGAGACATCTGAAAACATTTCACGGACAATAACACCATGTGCTCCGTAAGCGTTTTCTGTTTCATTGGCGACACCACTATATAAACCTTGATCAATCCAAGTAAGTAATGTCAATTTTCGCAAATGACAACAAGAAATACAACAACGGAACCAACAAAAAACGAACAAGCATCAAACACATCCAGCTGCATACCGCACAAAGACATAGGATATTTCTCAATTAGATCACGATGATGACTACAAAACTTTCTCGTAATTTTCATCAGATGTAAGATCGTAGCTACATACAAATCACGTAAGCAAAATAGTGTTTTTATAATCATGTTATTCCAAGGAAAGAATTTACTCTTGAAAAGGATGTATTAGATTTAAAATACCAAAGAAAGTGTTCACGAATATTTCCTGTTATAAACTAAATCAACAGAAGCATTTGCAGGAGAAAAAACATAACCCAATAAGGATTCATTACAAGAAAATAATTTTGAGAAAAAGCATATACTGTTCTATAGTACACTAACTTCAAATTAAAAGTTATGATATAACTTACCAGTCAAGTGGCCTGTAAAGCAGTGTGGACGCCTAGGGAACGGAAACCCATTTTATAGAGGAGTCGTCGTTATGACATGGGAACTAATGCCAAAAGGAACGATAAGCTACAAAAGAAGTGTCAAGTCAAACAAGTGTCATTGAACCGTAGATCGTATGATAAAGTTTGTAATTTGCCCTACTTCCACAAGTAATTGATGGCATGAAATCGAACTTTTATTTATGGTTATTTTTAACTTCCTTTAAATTTTGTCATCTCATCTATTTCGCAGCAATTGACTTTTGCAGCAAAGAATATATGATCAAAGATGATCATCATCGCTGACTTTATTTGCTGAAATTGATTTTCGCACAACAGACTATGCTACACTACACTATACTACCATATTTTTCTACAGAGTATACTTTACTACAAAATAATCTTTATTTGTTATGCCTTTCCTTATTCACATACATTTATTTTCCTATATTTGTTTCGATTATGAAATAAAATTGCATGCTAAAGTACGTTTGCTACTGTAAATACATAATGGATATGTGGCATTCTTGTTGTATCAATAAAAAAGGAAAATTGTGGATTGAACATTATCTAAGGCAAATAAACATATTTCGAAGACTGCACAGGTAGACATGTATGTGAATAACACCTTTCAATACAAATTTAGCATTAGATAATCAATAAAATTAATTGTATTCTACTGGTGTAGTTTCCCTGTGAGAGGTTTTGTTTACCCTTTAGAAACCGACCAGTGAAAATCGAAAGCAACCAAAATAGATATCAAATGCCAGATGGAGAGTTCCAATGGCTCAAAATTTCAAGACATTTTATAAGGTGTAGTAATAAATGATTATAAAGCACGTCAATGACTAATCAATCGTTACATGCAGGTTCCGACAAGCTTCAACGACTTCAGTCTTCGGGAAGTATCTGATATCTGAAATTTCATAGATCATTCAAAAGACATACAAGTGATAAACGCCTTTCAATACAAAATGTTATTAAGGAAAAAATTGAAATAATTCACGTTTTCGATATTCCTCTAACAGGAATGCAGTACTGCAATGAAGAATGAGAGTTAATGGCATATATTTTTAAACAGTTGTTTTAGAATGTATTTTTATGTAACAAGTAAGATCAGAAGAACACATTTGAGTGTTAAAGTTCGAAAAGATCAAAGTAAGTCTACAACAATCACGGAATATCAAAACATGAACATGACAAGAGGTCCTATGAATCTGCATTGCTCACTTGATGTTCAATGTGTTGATATCACAAATGTATTGACCTATACATCATTAGCATCCAATCTCCCATCAATTTTAATCAATTTCCACAACAAAGAGCTTCTGATATTCAACTCTTATCAGTGAGAGTTAAGCCCAGACTGTTTAGTAAATGTAATTCCATTTTATTTCCTCATAAATGCGCTAACCTTTTACCTAGTAACACCTTTCCATCAAATATCATGTTGCTGAGACTTTGCTTCCAATAAGAAATCGTTTAAAGGTTTCAAAAAACTCTATCCCTGTTACCGTCAATATGGGTCATGGTTACTTCTTCTAGCAAACCTTGTTAGTCATTATTCTAGGAAGTAATCACGCAAATACTATTATTCATCACCTTTTGCGTCGCCTAAACAGTCGTTTAAAGATTTGAACTAACTTGACAATTGTAACCTTGAATAAAAGGGCCAATGTAATTTCTTTTCGCAAACATTGTCGGGCTTCATACTGGGAGCCTATCTGTGCTTGTTAGTCAGAAGATGTTGCTTTAAAGTTTTAACAAAGTTGGCCCCTGTGGCATTGAACACGGCTGAGTGTCATTTCTTTCAACACCTTTTCGGGTTTTACTGCAGCAACCAACCAATCAAATATCATAACATCTTGCCTGCTGGTTATTAAGATGAAGTCGTTTAAATGAAAACGTTAACGTCAAATCGACGGACCTAGGACGCAGCGTCACGGCATAATTTCACTTCGCATTCAGGCCAGATGAGCTTAAAATTCCTTGTTTTAATAAAACTGACAAATATTCGTAACGATTCCTCGACCGAATTGCCATATACATGTATGTTTGTATGTATCTAGATTTGTGTCTTATTTTTGTATGATATAGAGTGCTATTTGTTTTAAAGCAATATTTGTTTTTAATCTTAATTTTTTCCAGTCTTATTGGTTACCCGTAGTCCCTACTTATCAATATTAAAACAAGGTTTATGATAAATGTATTAAGAATATGTATTCCTTCAAATCCTGAAGTTCAAGGCGATATAAAAACACAATCACTCTGTTTTATACATTAATATACCACGGTAATTATATATGGTTTTCGAAATAAATACAGATGAAAATCTATATTTAAACAAAAAGAAAAATGATCCTACAGGTTTTCTATTCATTTTATTAATCATACATACTTTTAAAACGTTTGGTGAATAGGTCGTCGTTCTCAAGGACGTAGTTATGTCGTGATAAGTTTTGACCGGACATTGATTTTCGGTCAAAGTGATAAGTTGTCACACATTTGAAAGTAAAGATGGGTTTGGTATGCAACAGGTGATCGTTTTTATCTAATTTCACACAGTATGAATAATTCAAGTATGTCATAATTGAGCAGAATTCATGATCGCATCGTTAATGTAATTCTATGTTGCAGTTAATTCGCTACAATATGTACACAGAAGTAGCATGTTTTCGTAATTTTAACCGTATGCTATTGTGATATTGATATAATGGACAGGATGAATGCAGTCATTTCCTAATCACTTAAGAAGTTCGGATAGAAGCAACCAACCAGAGTCTAATTATTTGAGCTTGGTAAAAATCCCAATTTCGGAATTTTAAGTGTTTTGAATACTGTTATGTTATGTCAGAAACTGAAGATAACTTCCTCTGGAAAGAAAGGGGAATCAAACATTCATACTGGATGGATACATGTTATTGAGATTACAGGTGATAGATACTCCTGGTTAACTTTTGGTTTGCCGTAACCTGCATGCTTTTGCTTTGTCCATTTGGATAGTATAGAATAGTTAAGAACAAACACATGTGCTTAACTTCTTTTAAATCATCAGATATATGATCAGATATGTGATAAATAAGCAATACATTGAGTACTTGTACTAGGTCACCACACCAACAAGATTTAAACATTTCTTTTGATCAATTCAGTCACCACATGGATTTCAAAATTTAGGTCATTAATATTGATAACTAGAAAGTGTACACAGACATTAAAAGTTACGCTTTTTTTCCCTTTCAATGTAATTTTATATACGTGATCTTGATATGACCTTTGACCTATTTTATATCAATGTAAAGAGATTGTCTCATTCATAAATTCATCGTCGATTTAACGTTGAATGACTGCAATTGCTATTTTTGTTCGTAATTCCTTACACATGTCTTAATTACAGTAAAGCAAACTATCAAAGAAAAAATCTTTGTTGACAATTCGTACCGGATAATATCATTTATATCTAACATATTCTTTATGCGTTGACTTGGTGTATAAGGTATATTATACACCTAACTGTGAACCTATCGAATATTTAATTTGTAATAATGTTTAATTCTCTGAACATATGATCTACTATTACCTGTAAACATATCGAATATCTTGTTGATAGTTAAAGATATTTAAGGAGACACAACACCATTCTTTATTGATGGTTGCATTCTTTCCTGTGTAATCAAATTTGTGGTTAATTAGTATCTCACAGTGTATGAATATGTCTTGTCGTTTAGATATCAATCCTTTCCGACATTACTTCTTTATATTACTGCTTGCTTTGTATTCTGATAATTCGTCCATTCTCTCTGTTAGCGATTCCCCAACCCACAGCTTGTCCTAAGCTAACTGATATTCAATCTTAATATGATCAGCAGCCAGGGAAATTCTTATCTAGCTGAAATCCTTTTAATAAAAACGTATTAGGCTCTCATCTTAAAATATATGACGAAACACTGATAATTTATTACAGATGGGCATAACATTATATTCGATCCGGTTGATTCCTGGTTATATTTCCTGGTTTTTATATCATAAATCCAGTAATTGCGGTAGCGTTAATCGAAAAGTAGTTGAAGTTACAAGTGATTGGTACATTTTCAATACAAAATTAGATTCGGATGCAATGTAATCAAATATTGAACTGCATTTTACAGTTGTTTCTTGGGCTCGTGAGTTATACCAATAACCAGAAAAGGTAAAGTACGAGCTCCCTCCCATCTATCCTATGACTATATATGATCCGAAACAGTAAACGTGTCCTGCCAGAGACTGGTCAATGTGTACATCCAACTAGAACCATTACTGATTAATAGGTTTCTGGTGCAGTATATATTAAGTTACACCCTTCAGTATTTACTATATAATTTCCAGAATCCAGCAGTTCTAAATTGGTGAAACACCTCCCTTGCTCGGATTTTTCTTCTTTTCTAGTTTGTGTATTTGTTTATTTACTTGTATGTATATGTGTGTGTGTTGGAAAATAATCAACAGAAATGTAACACACAAATTACGATGAATGGGAAATAAAACACACATTACACACATACAACATATATAGAAATTTGTTGGTAACCTAAGTTTTAACAGATATGCGCGTTGTCCTTTTTCTGTAACAATGTAAATTGATTATGATCAAAAAGAATCCTTCGCTCCTTTACGGTAAGAGAGGGGATCTCAAACCGAGGATGGAGATTATCAAGTTGTCAAACACGTTTTCTTAAACAACTGTTGTTTTATTGCCTAACATAAGATTCGGAAAATACCAGGATTGAGATCCCTAAGGTCAGTTCCCTTACACTATGCTGCTTCCCGCAGGTAGCCTCGTTCTTTTTTACTTCTCCAACAAAATTTAGTTAGAACTTATTATGTATATAAAGAGAAAGCATACTGTGCTATATTTTGTAAATTTTCATCATCCTAACATTAAAATCTAATCATCTGTACCAATATCTGGGCTTCATCTTATCAGAAACTTCTGAAGCCATCAAAATGTCGACATCTACTTCAACATACATAGCATGCAGGTCACGCCAAAACACCATTAGTGTCTACCTATTCATTTTCCTCAACAAAGTATGTACAATGTGTATTACACAATGCTTACTTATAGGTGCATTGCACATTAAAAACGTTCGCAGTTTTAACAACAACAGTCCTGAAATGGACTATTGTTAACCTTATTCATTTTATTTTGAGTATACATATTTCCAGCGTTTTATTTTCAGTGTGCATATAATTTGCGGTGATATTTTCAGTTAGTCTTTTTTCAGTTTTATTCCATCCCTGAAAATAGCGAAAATTAAAAACCCCGAAAAAACCAACTCTTACAGTAACTTAAATCAAATAAGTTCTGCCATTTTTGTAGTAACTTTAATTGAGTCATTGTATATTAAATTTTTACGTCGACAATGCGACACACAAGTGAATATCATCCATTATTTCAATTTAGAATAAGATGTTATAAAGTCAAAACTACATTGTTCAGATGCTTGAATTCCTCAGGTCAATTAAGGCATGGCGTGTTGGAATCTAATAATATACTGGTCCGAAATATTTAATTTCACAATCCTTGATCTCTTTTTTTATTACTAAGTTTAGTGCATGTGTATATTCTGAACAAAAGGCAATGTGTTTGGATTTCGATGAATTCATTTTAAGATATTAGGCTTGGACAGCCGAACCCTTATCCTTATCTAGAACATAGTTCATCAGCTGACAATAATACATGACTCTTGTGAATGTCACGATTTGTAAATTTAGAAATGGGCCCCAATGTCAACAAGTGCGAGAGTACATGTGATAAGAAAGTAAAATTTGAGACGCACACGAAGACTCTCTGTCGATATGTTGTCTTATTAAGTTTAGTTAATTTGACGGTTTTTATTAAAGAATGAAAGTGATATCACGGCATTGAAGTAGGAGTTAATAGTGCTATGAAGGAATAAAGAAGCGTGCATATTTTTTAAAAGTTCAAAACCTTCATTTTGGGAGATTTAGTATATACTCATGGTGAAATATTTACAATACTTCGTTATCAGACGAAATGATAACTGTCTGTTTGCATTTCCGATAAATTGTTTATGTGATAATTCATTGATTAATCAAAATCAATGTACGCTACATGGTTTATATCAAGTGAAGAAAATATAAATAAATTTACTTACAAAATTGCATGGACTGAGATTTCATATTGGAAAAGAATTCTTACATCATGTATTCATTTTGTGTCAGATAATGAAATCAACCAAATAATCATTCAACGTTATAGGACTTTGTGTGGCCTTATCTGCTGGGAGAAAAATCTAGTTTCAACAAATATTTGAACTCATCAAGCCAAAATTAAGAATATGAAACTATCTCAGACGTGATCATCTTGACTAAGGCTCAAACACAATAGACGTAACATTGGGTTACTTCCTAATGTAATCCTGATGTAGTTTGTTTATAATAAGGAGTTACTTCCCCTTATGTCTTTCTTTAACAAAATGATATATATATGTCTGTTTGTTTGTTTACCACAGGTTGTAACCTGAAGGAGAGGACTTAAATAGGCAATACTTGATGCCCAATTCCTTTTGACATTTGTCAATAAATTTGTTGAAATGAAATCAATAAACGTTTACCTGTTATAAATATAAGTGTGGATAATTCCTCGTGGGTTTAACTACTACATATTCTTTTTTTTTAAAATACTCAAAAGCACATAAGTGTTGTATTATTCTAGATCAGACGATATTAAAGATACCAGTGAGCTAAGGCTCCCACTTTAAAAATCTTATGAAGGAAGCGCTTTATTAAGTCAACAAATCTTTTATAAGGTCACATTCACATAGGAAAGTAGGCCTTACTTATCATATTCATATCTTTCACCTGTCACAGGCTGAGCATATGAACAGTTGACGAGTCAGCGGTTTGCGTTGTAATATAGATAGCTAGAAAATATTGAATAAAAATGTAAAATTGATAAAATAAAATAAAATACTGATTATCACTGTTATTCACGAATGGTTTGAGCAAAATAGTGTAAAAAAAATATTGTTATTTCCTATGATTTTGTTGAATAATTATCATCGAGGAATTCGTTACAATTAGTATGCATGTAAGTAGATTTATTGAGCTATATTAATCCATGAAATCAAGCTTACACATCAAAGCAATTTCGTATTTATACCTATTCTTTTTTTCAAAACCGCGAGATTAGAGCCCACGAAATTATATGATATTACAGTAATCATTTTATGGTTCATTTGCTATGTTTAATGCTCCTTGAACAGCCAGAATCATTTTGAGACGCGTTCTCCTATTACCTCATTTTATGGCATATCTGTGGAATAACACCAAAAGCAACTGGGACAAAGTGTCTTGCATATACATAAAACTATATTCATTGATAGCATAAGTCGGTGAATAGTTAACAAAACAACTTTATTATATTAAATAAATAATTTGGTGTTTCCTAAGAGGCTCAAAATCTCTATGCAGGCGGTGCGTTGGGCATCGGAGTTGTCTTTCCGGAAAGGTCGAAATGTGCCACAAGTTCCTGGAATCTGGTTTGTAAAGTGAAATATATAACGATAGATATGATAATATCGATATCTAAAGCGTGTAAAGGAAACTAAAATATTTTAACAATATTAGACCAACCGCAATGTATGAGAGAGAAAAAAGGTTATTTCCAATGTTGTAAGTCATGGCATTATCATAGATGTAGATTACAGATGTCTATCTACCATTAATATAGTTTTACATAGCTGCATGTATTCTACTAACAAATGGCACGATACATTTTACTTTCGGCATTATGTTCTTAATGCCTTTAATTTTCATGGTTGTCCGTATATTTTGTTCATTGTTCATAATTTGCCCTTGCTCGTAGATTGTGTTCTGTTGATTATATTCTATTATCTTAATATATGACGACTTTTTTCAATTGTAAAAAAATGCAGAAAACATCAATACAAGTACCACTGCCATAGATATTTAATTTCTTGTCATTTTTGTTAAATTAGAGACCTCGAGACGAGCATTTTCAAAGTATTTCCTCTTTGGACTTACTTACAGTCACACCTTCACTAAAGATATTCTCTCAAGAGAAGGAAGAAAAATTCATGTGACAAATATCGTTTGGGCTAAAGTTCTAGGACAGGACAAGAAAATGACTCCAATCAGAGGGAAAAAACTTACGAGTGACAAACAACAGGACATGCAGTGTGTCCTAAAGTATTTGTGGTTCCGGTGCTGAACTGTGTGTCGACGAGGGTATTGCACTCCTTTTCACACTCAGCCTCACGCTCATCTGAGCCCATACTGTTGTACAAATCGGTTACAATGGCCTTGATCTCATCAACATGGAAAATATTCACTGAAAAATAAGCACTTGGATGTCATATTCTATATATGGGAAGTATTTCGTTTAAGTGAACCTTTCGAGCTCTTCGCTTTAAATAAGGACAAAAACGGCTAAAGTGTGATGACATGTTGCATGAACGAAATGGAAATTGAAAGGAATGAAGTAGTCTTCCCTGACGAGGAAGAACCCTATGTGAATATTATATATTATGGCTCGTCTCAGGCAGTTTCACGAGTTATATCCCTTGAAACCGATTTGTTTTCGTGCTTCCCGGGTTTGAGTGTATCACAATATCATTGTAACATTTCGACTTCACTTCATGAAATGTTTAAATCTTACACTGATAGTTACACCTTCTCGAAATTGTGGTCAAAATATAAAAATGTTCTACATTTATATACTGATGGTTAAACAGGCAATGATAAGGTTGCCGCAGTCATGGTAACACTAGACGAAGACTATGAATGCCGGCTACCAAACAACGCCTCAGTGTTCTCAGCGAAAGCGCGAGCTATCTATCTCGACCTTGAACATACTAAAACAAATAAAGTAATGAGAGCTGTTATTTATTCAGACTCTTTTCGTACTACAAAGTCATAGCAATGGAAATATCGAAGATATTTTCATTCCCAATATATTAATACTATGTCATGATCTTTCCTCTTTCCTTTTTTTTTTTTTTTTTTTTTGTTTTGTTTTTTTTTTTTTTTTTTTTTTTTTTTTTTTTTTTTTTTTTTTTTTGTTTTTTTGTTTTTTTTTTTTTTTTTTTTTTTTTTTTTTTTTTTTTTTTTTTCTCTCTGGTTCCTGGGCACAAGGGAATACCAGGCAATGGACAAGTCGATCGTGCCGCCAGGGCAGTTTTATCGCTACCACCTGTACTTTTAAAAGTTGTTTTCGCTTATTTTAAACAATGTATCGCACACCTCAGTGGCAGGAGGAATGGAATCAATAAAACAACAATACATTGCAGTCCGTAAAACCTATCTTCGGTGAATGGTCTCCATGATATAGAAGCAAGCATCGAGACGAAGTTGTCCTTGCCCGTCTTCGGATGGGCCATACTTACCTTACACATGTGATGAGCCATTCACCGTTAAACATTTTATTGGATTGCATTGACTTATGTCTACTAGAGACAGATCGAGGCTAAAGATCATTAGAAACTGATCAGATTGATAAAATTCTACGTTATCTGAAATATGTTGAACTATATCATAGGATAAGACTTACTATTTTGATATTTTGTGATAATACAACCATTTAAGATTTTAAGCATTTGTCTTTCACCTTTTAGTTCGTTTGGCGTTGTTTCCATTTTGGTCGTTGTATCTTTCACCGGTTGATGGCCCCAATGACCTTTTGTGTGTTGAAGACCGTTAATAATGTAATAATAATAATCATAATAATTATTATTATAGAACAACGTGAAACCTTATCTATCTTAATTTATCAATTACTTACAGATAGCGTTCATGAATGGATTCAATTCACGTCTATTGACGGCAATCACGGGTGCCGCTGGGGCAACAGTTGCCGGGGTAATATCGAAGTATTTGACCAGCTCTTGGAATCTGTCGATATTTCATGAAATAAAAACAAAAAATTCTTCAGTCAATATACCAAACTATTCATGATTGGAATTTACATGTTTATATCTTTACAAAAATTTGAGAATTATACATTTTTAAAAAGACAAATGGTCATCAGAATTTCTACATCATCAACAGCATTACTTTAGCCTGAATGTCTCTAAAAAGGTGCAATATGCAATGCCTTTGAATGGCTTTTCTGATAATTTCACTGCCGTTAACTATGTAAAGGAACAATTACATGTGTCGATATTGTGATAGATATAATCAATAAATCCTTTGGTTTTTGACATATGACTGATGGATAAAATAAATCAACATAGACGATATATAAGATAGTGAATCAGGTGGGGACTACCGTTTTATAATTGCTTGTATACATTGTCAAATTCGAACTAACGATATCATGAAAATATACATATATAAAGCAAATGTGGTGATATGCAAATAATATGCAAATCTAAAATGAAGTCAATGATGAACGCTTCATTTTGAATATATATATATATATATATATTAGTTACGATTAACGGAACGGAACTTTTTTTCAATTAACTATCAAACGACCTAGTGTGACAATGGTGATAACTCGTAGCTTTGTATTATACAAAAGCGAATTAAGGATAAACTAAATCTGAAGTGATTGGCGAGTTCATAATTGTGACAGAACTTTCTATTTTAATCGCTAATATTTATAACATTATGTTGCAAACATCTAATTCAAACTTTCCTCCGTGCCGTCAAAAGGGAGACAACCTCTTTATACTTGCATTGAAATATAGCTATTTCTAGAACTTTTTAAATGTAATATAATAAAATATTAATATAATAACGATATAATGAAATAGTAAAACAGTTGATTATTTATTATCTCTCATATGGATTCTACCAACAACGTGCACGACATCATTTAAGTAACACAAAATGTATTGCGATATCGGTCATACTTTATAGAACCTAATGACAGTCTAATCCAGCTGTATTCCCGCCAAACAAATAAGGTTATAGAATGCTTGTAACAATATAAGAATTTTTTAAATCGAAAATATTCAGCAACATTAGTGAATCAGAGAAGTGAAAATATTAGTTAAACTGCATCATACAGCTGTTTCGTCCCTCCAGGACTCGTCAGTCAGTGACGTAAGAGGCGGGGGCAGGGAGCCAATTGCCCCCTCACCTTTTTGAGTGGAGGAACTTTTCAAAAAGGGATAAATTTCTTCTTTTTACTAGATGAAAATACACACAAAATTTTGGTATATTAATTTTACAAATTTCCTGTGCCATGGTTATGTTAGAAAATTTCGGAAAATTACCGCTTGGTTCATTCCAGTGGAGTAGGAAGCGGGGAGCAGGGGGCGGCGCCACTGTCAGTGATACCTAGGACCTAACATCGCCCCTTCATAGCTTATATGTGTATATTCCGTCATTATCAATATGAAAAAAAAAGTATAGAAATAAAGATATACATACGAGAAATAAAGATAACATACGAGTGACAGATGAGGGGACAGGATGTATGTCCGAGGGTGTTCAGGGTTCCGGCGTGAAACTGGGTCTCAATAAGGTTGCTGCATTCCCTCTCACACTCAACTTCACGCTCATCAGATCCCATGCTGTGGTAGAGATCTGTCACAATAGTTTTGACCTCATCAGCGTGGAAAACGGTCACTAGTAAAAGAAAGAAATAAGATTTATGCAGAATATTAAGACATACAATCCAGATATAAAATTATTTTCAACTAAAACGTTATGATCAATATCGCTTATGAATTATAAAAATATAGCGATATGTAATAAATGGAGTCGATGACAAATTCCCAACATCAGAGTAAGTACGATTCAACATTTTTCCATAAAATACAATTTAGTCAGCGGGTATGGGAAAATGCCATACTTTGGTACATAAAGACGTTTGCGAAAATGGACATTAAAAAAGAATTCTTACATCTAAAGCTGGAGGAAAAGGCAAATTACTTACAGATAGAATTCAAAATACTGGATCCAAACGATCGCTTGGCGCTGGTGCCAGCAGCAGGCACGGCTGTCTGGGGAGTGATGTCATAATGCTTGACGAGTTCCTGAAATCTATTTTAAAAAATACCAATTCCCATTAAAAAACAGAAACAAAACCAAAGATGTCATTCATTTACAAATGTAGTTTCTTGTTTCAACAGCAAGGGTCATAATGTGAGATTGGTAAGGGGTTGAGGAAGACAGGAGAAAAAAAACCAACTGAACTGTAGTCAGTACCAAACGGCAGCGCCATGTAAGCCGCGAACCTGCCCCAAGAGATGGAAGGCTAGTGACGGTCGGACGCTTGAACTACTTCCCCACTTTCAGTAGAGTTCAGTCAAATCTACACAAAGGTGCGACCGCAATCAAATAGAATTTCTTATTTCATGATTGTGTGTAAATATTTTGATAAATTCATATTTAAGTGTCAAAAACAATATGATTCTTCACAGGAGTCACGTGGTCGTTAAAATTCCCTAACTAGAACGATTTATTGCTTCATAATAAATTTATACATAAATAAACGGACTAGAAAAAAACAGTTGTTCATCTAGTCCTAGAATTGTCTATATTTACAATACGATGTATTTGGAATACTTTCACATACATTTTGTTTTGCGTGCATTGTACCTCTCAACAATTAATGATTCATTATTGTGCGACATATTGTTTGAAAATGAAGTTTTGCGTAAGCTGTGAATTTTTAAATTAATCGTTATGATTTTTTAAGAACACTGATTTCATTCTCCATGTATTTTTTCAAGATTGCAAATATTTCTTTTGTTCACATTGCTGTAGTTTTATTGAAGTTTTTTTTTATGTAATTCCTTACATTGTCCATTTTTTAAATGTAATCGGTCATAGTAAAAAGAATGCATTATCTAAAAGTTCTCTAAAAGATGAAGATAATGTTTATCATTTTTAAATATTTGGAATATATGTTTACTTACGAGTGACAGATAACGGGACAACCGGTGTGTCCAATAGTGTTGAGAGAACCAGTCTGGAACTGAGACTCAACCAATTTGTTACATTCAGCCTCGCACTCGGCCTCACGTTCATCAGTTCCCAAGGAGTGATACAAATCGGTGACGATGGTCTTCACCTCGTCGGCATGGAATACATTCACTAAATGAAATACCGAATGATAAATTCTATTCTGTTATAACTTGAAATTAGAGTTTTATTTTTAATATATTAATATGGATTAACAAAGCATAGAAAAAGTGAGGTCAATATCATTTGCCAACTAAATAGTTACACATACATAAACAACACTTCGTCATCATCTGAAAATATGTGTTTATGCTTCTTTAATTCATTTGCAGGTCTTTCATTCTACAAGATTGATTGAACTGGACTTCGCAGAAGTCGTCTTAAGTCTTATTTTAAGTAATCTTTGATATATCTATTTCCCGCTATTACATTCTGTCAAAAACAGAGAGAAAATAAGATAAACTGAATTTTGTAGATTATTGTCATGGTGCCAAAATAACGATTTTATAGTATTGTTGGGGTGTTAAAAATAGCGATTTTACATCTTTGTTAGGATGCTAAAATAACGATTTTATAGTATTGTTAGGATGCTAAAATAACGATTTTACAGTATTGTTAGGATGCTAAAATAGAGATTTTACAGTATTGTTAGGGTGCTAAAATAGAGATTTTACAGTATTGTAAGGGTGCTAAAATAGAGATTTTACAGTATTGTAAGGGTGCTAAAAAACGATTTTACAGTATTGTAAGGATGCTAAAATAACGATTTTATGGTATTGTAAGGGTGCTAAAATAGAGATTTTACAGTATTGTTAGGATGCTAAATTAACGATTTTATAGTATTGTCAGGGTGCTAAAATAGAGAGTTTATAGTATTGTTAGAGTACTTGACTTGATGGAAAAATATACTAACGTTACAGTACATTGATCCGTAGATATATGAATTCATAAGGATATCTTTAAAATTCGAAAGCTGTACAGCTGTAGTATATTACCTGCAAAATGGACGAAAACAAAACTACAACACTCCACATGCGTGTACCAGAGATATACTTACGGATTGAATTCAAAAATGGGTTCAAACTTAATGCCCTCTTTGGTGGAGCAACGGACGTCATTGGCTGTGATATGTCAAAGTAGTGAACAAGCTCCTGATACCTACAAATAAGAGGGGTAACGTCTTTGGTTTTATATGTTTAAAGCTCTATCAAAAGAACGATGGTCTCCCCGTGTAAGCAAGATGAATACATTGTGTGAATTCTTGTGTTTGTGTAAGGATGCGATGTGTTCATTTCAGCCTCCTTGTCATAATGCGGAACTGAAGGAGATTTTAATGGCTCTACCACGCTGATGTATATTGTCGATGACCCCAAGTAGGACAACCAACTTGGTCACATAATTCTGATCACGCGCAAATTACAATGTTGATCGTTAAGTAGGTAGCAACTACCAATTTTATATCATTATATACACTAGCATATCTCGGATGGTTGACAGGGCCCAAAGGGAAACATTTTTGAACTGAATTATTTAGAAAAAGAACAAAATGGTTTATCCCAATAAACTGCGTCTTATGATCATACTATTTGGAGCAGCAAGCACAAGTCTTATGCCTAAACTGCAAGGCGAGTAAAGAAGAGCATCAGACGGTGACAACAGATGATATCGAAACATACCACCATTAATTTCATTATTCAGTACAGGAAATGAAATATGTCTTTAACAGAGGGAGCACCATTAAAAAGCACATACATACTCGACAACTGAACAACAGAAACAAAAATTGGATCAATAATAAAGATGTGGATATACAGAACTGAAATTGATTTACAAAATAGCAAAGGTCCTATTGATATTATGGAATAAGATCAACATTCGATGACTTCTAAAATCCTTTGTCATACAGAAATGATCATAGACTTTAGAGTCGATACCACATAAATGCTTGTTATTCTGTTACATTTTCAATCTTCACGTCAGCGTCATATGGAGATATTGTCCAATAAAGGGAGTTTCTAGGGTACTATCAAACAAAAGTGGCACCACCTAAGTTTGAAAGCATGCCATCCCTCCCCGACATATCAAACTGATGACAGGCGAGCCAGTCCCCTGATAATTATCTTGATTAGAATCACAAGCAGGAAACACGAAATGTCACTATAATATCGTATGTCATGGCTCTGGGACCCAACCCAAATCCTTTTTGATTTGGCTGGACGCTACAATCAAATGTCAAATGGGTAGTAAAGGTATACTATCAAACAATACAATGAAGCAGCAAACAAAATTATATCTGAAACGCAACTTACGGGAGCAAGACAATTATAAGCCAAAGAGAACTTACGAATGACAGATGACTGGGCACGTAGTGTGTCCGATTGTGTTCAAGGACCCCGTTTGCAACTGACTATCGACAAGTTTGTTGCATTCAGCCTCGCATTCAACTTCACGTTCATCAGTTCCCATGGTGTGGTACAGGTCTGTTACAATGGTCTTGATTTCATCAGCGTGGAAAACATTCACTTTGAAAACAAACATCAGCAACGCCGTAAGTTTCTCCTCATTAAGTAAAACGCATTCAGTGTCAAACATTCAGTAACATTTATCCATAGATATAACAGACTACAACCAGTTTCGACGTGATAACTTACAATCAATCATTCAGCATAAATTTTAAGTGAAAAAGATAAATTAATATAAAAAATGAAAAGAACGCCTTACAGACGGAGTTCAAAAGACTGGATCCAAATGATCTCTTGGCGCTGGTACCAGCAGCAGGCATGACTGTTTGTGGAGTGATATCGAAATGTTTGACGAGTTCCTGGAATCTAGTTAGTCAAAATAGATGACACTTAATTTCGTTAACGTTATGGTGAACACGATTAAGCATCGAATGCCGAAAGCTTCGGATAAGCATGTTTAAAAAATGCAACAGATCGAAATTTTAAAAATTGATTTTATCATTATTAACAAACACATTTCAACTCCTAAATTCAATAGCATTAATATTTAAACTTAATGTTGTGTTCGAGAATAATTTGTAAGGCGCTAGACATGTTTAAGTGGTGGTAATATTTTCATTTACATCGATATTTGTAGTCATGTGTGTAAACAAACGAAATGCAATGCATCAGAGAAATAAAACCTGCTTTATAAAACGCAAAAATTAAAATTGGTTCCCTATCCAAAAATATTTTTTGATGAAATGTGTTCCGTGATTTTCCAATCGAAACATACCAGCAAGCAAGACAACTCAAACATATCATTAGTGATTTTATGAATAGACTGAATCATAAAAAATTGTTGACAAAAGTGCGTGTTTATCTATATTCACATACATATGAATTCGGGGAGAAGCGTATGCACGAAATTAACAAAAATAAACCTCAAGGAAAAGTAATGATTTCAAAGTATATTATTTCTGATTTATTTTCAAATAACTAAAATATGCATGCTTAGTTTGTCCACTTACGAGTGACAGATAACGGGACAACCGGTGTGTCCAATAGTGTTGAGAGAACCAGTCTGGAACTGAGACTCGACCAATTTGTTACATTCAGCCTCGCACTCGGCCTCACGTTCATCAGTTCCCAAGGAGTGATACAAATCGGTGACGATGGTCTTCACCTCGTCGGCATGGAATACATTCACTGCACAAATGAAATAAAACAGAGATATCAGATAGGGGTCTGTTTATGGTTTTATCTTTATGATACATCTTTACCATCTATCAGCTTTAATTATTTTGTTGAAAAGATTATATATAGCTATACGGCACCACTGAATATCATATATTAACCGTTTTCACACTAGAAACGTATTTGAGTTTCTTCATTTGCTTAATTAATAATTCTCATAACTAAAGAACGATTATCAGAAATCGTCATTTGCTTTCATCGTTGATTTCTGACACGATTAATCCGTTCTTTGGTACCGTTTTCATTGTTTCAATCGAGTGACAGTGGATTATGCTTAATTGTATTAAGCTATTAATCCGAAAAAGGATTCATACGGATAGAGGTTAAGAACGGGTTCAAACTGAGAGCCCTCTTATTTGGAGTAGCAGGCGCCGCTGTTTGTGAGACGTCAAAGTAGTGTACTAGTTCCTGGTACCTTCAAACAGAAGGAAACATCAAGTTATACACGTTGTATTTAGCACATGTCTTCAGTATGAGCTGTCCTGTTAAACAATGCCCATTAAAGGGCGCATCTGCATCATTGGTCTGTTTAACAAGGTTTAATTCAATTAAAAAACGATAACATTTGTTCTGCTCCATCTCCACAACTGAAAGGTTTGGAGATGTTCAAGTCACTGGTAAATTATCTCATGGTTTGAGGTCTTAAGTTTTAGTACTAATGGTCAATTAGAACAAAGACGGTGACCATGGAGGATAGAACTACTCCAGTTCAACTGAAATGACATTGAAATGTCATAACCTGGGCCCCGCATCATAGCATACAAGTGGTCATAATATACTAACAACGGCAAACAAGTCATTATGGTTGACACATTTAATGACGAATGCCGCATAGTGATCAACTTTCATACATGAGGAAAGCGTGGTGTTATGTTTATTAAAAAAGAAAACGTGTATCGTGCTTATTAAATAGGATAATTTGATGCTGTGTTTATATAAAGGGACGTTGTGTCATGTTTATTCAAAAAGAAAAAGTGGTGTTATGTTTATTCAAAACGAAAGTGTGGTTTCGTGTCTATGGATATGTGAATTGGTATTATATTGTGAACAACCTATCAACAGTTAATGTTGATTTATAAATCGCCTCCCACTGTATGTTGGATGAATATGTGTATTTTTGTTTGTTTAAGCCCCCTGGTGATACTGCGGAAATAAAGCCGACCCTATAGTGCAACTACATTGAAGAATACGACCGAACATCTCCAGCAGGAAACCCCATCTGGTCACAATATACTGATAGCAATCAGACCAGTCGATACAATACCATAGTGTTGGAATTAAGCATGCGGAGGTACCAGATAAAAGCGTTATTAGACCCTAATCACTCAATCGACAATTTATGAACGAAAGATATTTAAAGGGGCTTACATAAGTGCACTTACGAATGACAGATAACTGGGCACGCAGTGTGTCCGATTGTGTTCAAGGATCCTGTTTGCAACTGACTATCGACAAGTTTGTTGCATTCAGCCTCACATTCAACCTCACGTTCATCAGTTCCCATGGTGTGGTACAGGTCTGTTACAATGGCCTTGATTTCATCAGCGTGGAAAACATTCACTTTGAAAAAGAGTTTTATCTAAGTAAGATACGGAAATCAACCCATTTACGCTGTCTATTTGGGTCGAGATAATAAATGAATATAAAGCAATTTTAGATGATCCAAGATTTATTTCACTTGAGGAAATCCATATCATAAACTGTCATCTTTGTTTAAATTGCTCAACATATTGATTAATTCTCAACTAAGAACATGTTCATAGACTTTTATGATCACTCCATTTGTTTTCGATTTCAATATAATAGTTCATATATCTCCTCTATATATATTGAAATGCGACACGGTTATAACGTTTGCAATATATTTGACGTGTCTTATTCATATATCACTGCTGATGTTAAAGTTGGTACGTACATATTAATCATACAAATGCCGTACGATATCATAAAAAACTTGCCCACCGAGCAATCCAAACCAATTGTAGATAAACCTTGATATACTATATACGTTAAATTTCAACCTGGATTAAACATTTTTTACATCCGAATGTCAATACAGAAATGATGCTTAAATAATACTTCGAAACATTATTTATTTTCTTATTGACGTTAGTCATTTTTTGTATTTTATGTTATCTACACTTTTAAATAGTCTCCGTCAAACGTCTGAAATTAATGTGTATTTATATTTTTCGATGTCGCTTTTTTTATGGAAATAGGCCTCCACTCGGCTTATTGGGACAATGCGCATGTATAAAGCAGATATTTATACACGAAGGAAATAGAAGTGATTCATTACAATCAAAATATGTAGACAAAATAAATGAACACACGTACTGTTTTTGATTTTGTACCGTTCTTATGACGAGCGATGTATGATGCTTGGGAATATCAACGATAAACCATTAACTAATATCATACGTGATAGAGTTAAAACTGTCTTACATTGTTCGGTCAACTTAAGTATATAATACACTGTAAAATCGTAAAGGATGAAACCTGTATCTAAGTATATAATGATAAGCCACGGGCACTAGAACATTGTAAATTCATCGAAATGTGAACATTACCGAATTGAGAGCAACATTTACATTCAAACAAAATCAATACTGACATATTAACATGCTATCTAAAATCCACATCTTAAATGTTTCAATATTCGACAAGTATTTGATTCTGATATAATCTTAAAATAAATGTTTCAAACCAATGATACTTCTCCAGAACATAACACGCGCATTTTATTAGATATTTATCTATTCTGTAAAGAAAATAAACCAAAACTGCCTGAACTATTACATCTGTGTGTGTGTTGTTGATTTTTTTTTTTTTTTTTTTTTTGTCGATTTTCCATTTCCTTCCTTTATGCTATATCTCGAACGGTTTAGTTAAGCATCAATGAAGCGACCTTGAAGGACAAATAGCTATTTGATACCAATTTATCATCAGTTATCTCACTAACTTGATTGTCTTTCGTACAATTTTATACACATGAATACATTGTGAACTAGTATAACAACGAAAAAACTATTAAAATTAAACGTATGGCGAATAAGAATGCATAGATAGAGTATCAATTGTAGGATTCTCCCGCTTGTAGTGGACGCTCAATTTGTTCTATAAAGTCATGCTCTGTGGTGTACGCGACTAATTCAAGATCATAACACACTGATGTATAAAATCTTCCTCTGAACAAAAGAAAATAATTTATCATAGATGCATATATATAGTAATAAATATGAGTGTGTCTGTATGTCTGTCTGTTAGTCTGTCTGTTTGTCTGTTTTCACGTCTATTTTTCGTCTTCGTATATCTTTTCCTGACATAATCAAACTTACAGATTGCACTCAAGAACGGGTTTGTCGCTCTCCTTTCAGGAGCAGCCATTGCTAAAGGCACCGCTAACAGAAGGAATCCCAACACCTTCATTTTTTACTACAAAACAAAAACAGTAGTATAAAGCATCATTTTTTATGCAAAACACTGCAATGATATTTTTATAGTACAAGAGTTTAATGGCAAGACCTCCTACAAATAATGTTGTGAAATATAAATAGGATATCCATCGTGATAGGAATGTTGCCTGGAACTTCAATTTAAACTATTTTCAATCCCTACCGTTAATATTGAATCAATTGATATTGCAATTGGAAATTTAGCTTGAGGTTTAGACCGATATTTGAATGAGAGACTTTCATTTTTCTATACACAATATAATTAACTGTTACAGGAACTATTCTAAGACTGTGTTCTCTTACCTGTTGATTGTCGATCGTTACAATAGTGAGTTTAGAGTAGAGGTCAGTTTTATACTTACCTGGAAATTGTCCTTCTTCCAATCAGAATGACCGTGCCCTTGACAATAACAGGTGAGGATTTCTCATAAATTTCGTGACAGTCCGGCCAATATGACCAACTGAAATCCCGATAAAGCTTGACCATTCCTACAAAATGACAAGATAGCGAGTATTGGTATAAAATGAGATCATTCCTACAAAGGTCAGTTTATTTCTATTCTGTACAACAATCCTTTGATGTACCTTTTGTAATGTTTAGATAATCCACTGAGTCTAATAGTATGAGTCTTTGTTTATTCGCGGGACAAATAATATGCATCTTACCTCAACATTTCCATATTGTAATGCTTCTTATTAATAGGACGATTTTTTTTAAATTTCTTAGTCTTTGATATATGATATTTATTCTTTTAACTGTAAATGTTGTTTGAATTTATCATTCTGATTTCGTAAATGTAATAATATCGCCATACAAATCAAATGGTCAATTCTGGAAGTCCCGAAGATGTAAATATGAAATTGTATTTATATTTAAAAAGGACGATGAGAGCAGTCTATATTCATGTTCTGACATTGGTGTTTTTTTGTTTTTTGTTTTTTTGTTTTTTTGTCTATTTTTCGCATGCGTATATGCATATCATCAAAAACTTATTTCTTATTGCTATCATACATTTAGTAATGTACTATTATTTCATCATAATGCAAATTATGTTTTCTTTATGAAATGTTGGCAGGTTCATAACATTCACATGTACTTGATGTTCTTTTGAAATCATCAAATTTTTAAAAGTTGCATTTTTTTATTGCGTTGTCATATATCCAATCGTTATTTTATCATCTCTAAAGAGTCCTAGAATGATGAAATAGCTGTGTGGTCGCCTTCAACGTTTCAACATTTCAGGCCTCTATCATCACTGGCGAGTCTTAGAGAGAATAAACAGCTGTATGATCGTCTTTTACGTTTCAATATTTAAAGCTCCTATCGTCTCTGAAGAGTCTTAGAATAACGAAATATATGTATGGTCGTTTTCTACGTTTCAACATTTTAAGCTCCTATCATCACTGACGAGTCTTAGAGGGACGAAACAGATGTATGATCCATATTCATTATTTGGTTACACTGTTACTTTGAACTGAAGGTCCTATTAACATTTAGTCATGAGTACAACCATAAGAGAGGTGTGGAATTGAAGAACGAGGACTAAGTCTCAGTTATCAATTCAATCAATCTGAACGTTCGACACTACGTTAGATAGGTCAGTCTATGTCAAAGTATTCTACTTTTATGCCGTCCTCGTCAAAATCGTGCTTCTTTTTCAATTATTGTACGACTTAAATATTATTCACATTAACCGCTATTTCTATTGTCTGTCTGTACACATACTTTGAATGCACATCTGTTTAAGTAAAGATGATTTCCTAATACTTTGTACTTCATTTCCAGAGGCCTGTATCCATGTCGAGATATTATTGTAACCCAGTTTAATGAATATTGATTGAAAATATTTGCAATTAATTTGCATCGTTGAAAATGTTTATTGTTTAATGGACTAAAACGTTTGCAACATAAGGTTTAAATTAGACAGGGTACAGTATAATTATTATCGATGCTTAGATGTATGAAGGTCGTTACTGCTTCGACAAAAGTATGCAAAAAAGCCAAATAAATTTAGCCGGTTATCAACCGGTCTATAACGTAGTACGTGAATCTGTAATGATGAGGTAAACGTATGACGTCATATGTGTTATATAAAGCACGTGTCAACGATAAAGTTAGTTAAGTACACAATTCGGTCCAGTTCTTAAGTAAGTAAACAAACTCGAAATCACACTTAAAGACCATGCTATCATGTAACACAGGTATGTATAATTTTAACGACTAGTCACCGGCTCAGTTTTCCAAACGGCTTGTTAGGCTGTTAAACATATGGATAATATTCCAATGGAGAAAACACTTGCCCCATTTAATTTTTTGTCAGAAATCATCAACTATACTTAATAGATTTTTTTATTAATATAACTTTCATTTAATACACTTCATGCTATTATTATGATATAATCTTGAAAACATCATGTTTCAAGTTGATTTTTTACCGCTTTTGTATTTACATTGTACTAATATGATTGTCTGCTTTCAGAGATAAAAAGCTGTTAGTGGTAAAGGCCTAATCTCTAGTTAATACCACGCTCCACTCGTAACGCGACAGTAATTACCAATAGCTGATATCTCCCTAATTACCATCGAGGTTCTTACACAAACCTTACGGTACAACGGACAAAGTTTGTGCACGTTTAATTGGTAATTGTTCGTACCTTGCTATCTGTTTATTAACAACAGATACTAAACGACTGTACCGTTCAATCTACTGGAAAATTCATAATATCATACAAGTATTTTCCACCTTTCGACTTGGAGTTCAGCCTTGAATTACAGGAAACATTAAAGAGCCCATTGTCAATCTAATATTGCCGTTGGGATTTTCAGCATTAGTCTATGTCTAGACAAGAATTGCCAGAACGCTGTCACTTTAAAATGTCATTCTTATTTTGCTCACGATGTTTATGAAAATTTTTATTGTTAGCTGCACTGATATCAAAGTTCTTGAATATTGAATACTATCATCATATCCTGATATCTTGAGAATATATTAAAATAATATATACCATTTACACTTAAAAACAAATTGAACTGGTTGACAAACCCTTAACTCAGATTAACGCAGATTCGCAGAGGAAAGAAAACTCTGCCGTGACTCCTATGTTGTTGACAGGAGTGAATGATGGTTGAGTTGGGGTGAAGGTAGGGGGCTATCTTCAATTAGTACATAAAGACCATGGACTGGGTGTTGCCATGTTTAAAACAGTGTGACGAATACATCAAGTTTATCGCTTACCCTTATTTCCAGTATGTTTGTAGGTACCAAACGTCAGGAAAAAAATCAAGAACATACCAACATGTCAACATCATCATAGTCCAAACTCTACTTCTATATAATTAAATATTACGAACACGTGAACCCCTAAACGGCAATGGTGAATTTCGCTACCAACCAGGTGGACGTCTTCCATTTCAGCCACATTGCGTCGGAATTATGAGTGTATCAATATGAATGTCGAATTCAGGCAATATCTTAAAATCTGTATGTTAAACACACAACAGTTTACGCTATTCCAATACTTCAGTGGACTATGGGTTACCATGCACTCTTACATACGAGCCCTCCGTTTGCTTTCTAAAATGTCAGCAAAACTGCTATTTGAATCATTGATATCTTGACCTGACACCTCCGCTCTTCCATACATCAATGTTCTTTTTATCCTGCACAATCGCTCCTCCATAAATGTACACAGTACATATGACCTGTACAAAGAATGGGCAGTGCACCCACTGTTATCTTAGTACATTGATTACTGATAAAGCTGTGACGAATTATTCAGTTGTAATTACAGTCCTTGTGGGTAAAGTGCAATATAACCTTGATTTATTTCACTTTGTTTTTCAGTTTGTTTCATAAACTAAGTCTGTTCTTGCAGATTTACGTGAAGAAATAAAACGTCAATGATGTGTAGAGTTTTTTCCTTTAAATGTTAGTTCGCGAGTACGAAATCATAGTTCCGTTTTGTGGAAGCGCAGATATAAACTGGTCCTACGACAGCACCATAAAACGAACTTATAAAGTCTTAAATGTAGCCGATTTATTATCAGGACAGGATGGGTATTTCAAATTATTTTACAGGTTTTAACGTCCTCGCAACAGCCAATGTCATTTAAATCAGATGTCATGAGGACAAAAAGGATGGAAAACAAAGCACAAAAAGTAATAGATACTAGAAATCAAGAAAATAACAAGATACTGTATGTCGTAATGACACTACAGACAGAACTTCCTATTGATGTCCCTTTTGTAGAGGAATCGGATAATACTACCTAGTCTACAGGGGAGCTATGTGTAGCCATCTTCTTCAATTATGCAGTTGAATTCAGAAGGGCGCTCCCCTTAACATAAGGCATGTGGGAATCATCCAAACCTAAAGTAGTGCCCATAATTATTGCCTCTTACGACATGCAGATAAAGAAGCGATATTAATTCCTTAATCCCCTGCACTAGGTTCACAACAGTGATCACTTGGGTAATATCTATATCAGGAGAAATGATGGATCAGAAGCGATCTGATGGTAAGCACGAGACTTTCTGACGATATTTGAAAAAAAACTCGTAATTAACAGCCAAATAAATTCTGGTTCTGATGTAGATGATGAAGCAGAGATTGGTGCAATATTTTACCTGATATTGAATAAAATGTAACATTGTATCAATTAAATGTGTCTTCTCAGTTTTGTTTGACTTTACGACCCTGCCACTGCCACTAATAAAATCATGATAGAAGGTATTGCTCATGTATCAATTGCCAGTGACTGACTGTTGTCATCTGGTAACCTATCAACTTTACAACAAGATATGCATATCCTGCAATTTTTATGTACATAATTTAGCGGCGATTTTAATTGTGCGTCCTTCGCACAGATACCATTGTGCTAAAATATCACTGCGCTAATTAAAGATTACATATGTTGTTTATTTAATAATCTTTATGCGAATTCAGCATTGCAATGATGGTGAACTGAAATTT